CACCATACGACTGCGATCATGCATAATATTCACCATACCACAGCGTTCATGCATAATATTCACTATACCACTGCGTTCATGCATAGTATTCACCATACCACTGCGATCATGCACTATATTCACCGTACCACTGCGTTCATGCTTGATATTAACCATCCCACTGCGATCATGCATAATATTCACCATACCATTGCGATCATGCATAATATGTACCATACCATTGCGATCATGCATAATATTCACCATACCACTGCGATCACGCATAATATCCACAATACCACTGCGATAATGCAAAATATTCACCATACCACTGCGATCATGCAATCGGAAAGGGCTACAACTGACCTAGCACGTAGATAAAGCATTAACTAGCATAGTTTTAATATCTCTCATACCTTCCCGTTGTGACATCGTCAGGAAACCGAGTATGCCTTCAGTGAGCATCCTGATATCCATTTGTGAGATGTCTACATTCCGTAACTGATACGCAAGAAGAGTAAGACACCATGAAAATTGTTATAGTTTCCATCCCCGATTGGTTCTACCGCACTCACAGATCAGTTAATTAATGTGCCTACTATGACTACGACTGTCGAGCGCAATTTACGGTCGTGCTATGCTGGACTCACATTTCTAATCTCGTTGTGCTTTGATCACCCTCAGTCTGAATCGAGTGGGTGAAGCTTTCGGATGCCAATGACTTACCAACAAATAAAATACAGTAATGAAGGCGCTACACTGCGCACACTATTATACCCTGAACCTATATTTGTGTCTGCAATATCTGCCGAGTACAGGTACAAACGTCCAGCTAATAGATAATTGAAATTCGACGCCATAGAAGCAAACGCTATACACCAAATGAACAGCCACTGTCGTCGAGTGCGTGTTTCTTACATCATTTAAAAGCGCATCGATGTTCTCTTCTGTTGGCTCAGGTAGTTGCTCATCATCACCCACGTCGCCTTCTCTATAGAAATGGTATAATCTGATTAAGCATCACTACTATACGGATATACACTGAGTATTTCGAATGTCTGTGGCGGATGCGTGGTGGAGTGAATATTATATGTACATAGTATTGGAGAAATACGAGGTGTCAGCAATAGAGCAAATCTGGGAGTGCAATAACGTCAGCTGACCTCGTTTCTATCTTGGCGACTCACGCAATGGATCTACATCAAAACACTAAGTAAAATGAACCATAGCACCACACATAAGCTGTTGTCCTTGACTACTTGGCAGGACAGAAGACCAAAAAACTAGAAGAAAATACACTATTTGCCAATATATTCAAATGGCACAGATAGCAACCCTTGGTATTGGTACACACGTTGCGTGTACCTGAAGGGATGGCCGAGTAGTAGTCGCTAGAAGCCTCCTCTTCACTATCTCCTAGCGGTGCGTAACTGTACCCCACATCCTCATTGTCATCATCTTCATCAGATGAGAAGTCTGAACGGTCTTCCTGTTTGTCTGACGAGCAAGTAGTAAAATTTTAAACTTCCAGATATATATATATATATATATATATATATATATATATATATATATATATATATATATATATATATATATATATATATATATATATATACGTGTGTGTGTGTTGTGTGGTGTG